GGAAATTCAAATTGTTTGGTTAGTATTATCAATAAATCACTTAAAAAACGTTTTCCTAACAGAATTGATCCTTGGAATATGCGAGAGTTAGAGACATAGGTTTCAAATCCGTATATAATTTTTGACTTCACCAAAATTTAATAATGAATAAATAGCCTGCCGAATTCCCGATGCCTTATTGGTAATATAAGCATGTGTGTTTGTCTGGAGTTTTACAATAAACTATGTTAGGGGTGGGGAATTCATCCACATAGTAAGTTCAAATCATCAATTTATAAAATGGTGTGCCTGTGAACATCAACATTATTAATATACTACAGTAAAAACTCTGCAGATCTTATCAAGAAATTCAAATTTTTCCTCAAATAACATGACTTTTTTGTACCACTGTACAGTAAAACTGGAAGCATCCTGAATTTAAATCCTGAATTATAATATTTACAGCGCACGAAGATAACTAATTGAGAATGCGCTTTTCTTCAAAATTTAATCGATGAATTGTTCAGATGAAGATAGGCAGTCGTGCGTTCAGCTTTAAGGAGATATTCATAACATCTGAGTTTATTTCAGGATACCAGCAGCATAATGTGTATATAAAATTAATGCTTGCACAATAAATACTACAGTTAACTTTTTTATTTACTGTTAAATTTGCATATATTTCAGTCGCTGCTAATTGTGCCATGTGAAGTTTATGAGTGCTTGTGTTTTGATAAACATAACAGCTAAGTTTAATTACAGATGAGTTTATTATACAAAATTAGATTAATATCTATATGCATCTTAAGCATTCATAACACACCTAACATTTAAAATTTTCATTTCCCCCCTTAATTTTAAGCCACGTAATTTATTAATCACTTGTTAAAATTGTTCTAAAAGATTTTATCGAAAAGAAATCGATGTATGAGCACAACCACGCAGTTAAAGCCCACATAACTCAAGAATCAGCTTTATAATTACGTCCAACTATGATTGCATATTTAGATCGCATTCGTATTTTAAAATTTTTAGTAGATGATAATAAAAAAGAATTCATTTATTTGGAGATTGCCAGAGGAATCAACTGAAAGCGACTACAAGTCGAGGCATCTGCCGGCATAGCATCGACCGGCCGGCGATAGGCATCTGCCGGCATGCCGGCATAGCTCGAATCATGAATAACAGTAGTACGAGGAAGTGACTTACACCACAGCGATTAGGAGTTGAACTACAAAATTTTCCTGCCTATTAGATTAGGTTATTATTAGACAGCACAATTTTCTTGGTTAGGTTAGGTTATTTGAATGCGACGAAGCACAAGAGGATTATCTGCCTGAGGGGGAGGGATGCCTTCTTATTAAATTTTCTAAAGAAACTGGTTTGCTTTCAAGGCACATATGGATAAAATCTCGAAAACCACCAATGCAGAAGCCAGTTTGCTTGGAATTGAATACGAGTCGAACTATCAGCATTCAACTGTCTTAGTTACTTCCCTCCCCCAATGGTTGACTCAGGCGAACGCCTCGGAAGTACTGGTTTGGATCTGTACCTAGGCAGTCTCAACCACGGGGGCATAATAACAGACTTCACAGAAGGCCTGAGGGTTCGGAAGGATCGGAAGGGACCGTACTGGTACTGCCTTGTCTGCCCTTGATCTGTGGGGTCGCAACATTGTTGATTGAGCAAGGGCGGCACTTAATCCCGTTTGGCGCCCATTAGGTCGCATTAGGTCGGGAGCCGTCTCGTTCCATCAGCGTTGTCTTAGTCACTAGGTCAATGATGGGGCTTCTCGTCTGTTAGAAATTTAATAATACTAAATAAACGTTTAGACTCTGTTTCTGCATATATACCACTTTTTCACTTTTCAGTATCTTACAATATACATAAACCATAAATAAATTATTAGATTGCCTGTATTTTTAAAAAAATACTTATTCATATATAATTTATATCAATGGTCTCTGAGACTGTAATAGTCTCCGAATACGCATCGAGCCTGTTTACAGTTACGCTACGAAGGCATGCGGAAGGGAGGGAGAAAATACTTAATAAATGAAAGAGCAACATTATTTAGACAGCGATAAACGGCTTGGCTGATAATTTAATTAGTCCTGTTTGAAGTTAATATAAAAATATATTCAAAGGTTACTTTATATTATTTGAATATGCCAAAGCTCAGAAAGGTTATCTGCTTAAAGGTAGGGATGCCTTCGAGGAAGATTTTCTAAGGGAAAACTGGCTCATATTTACATTATATATGGGAGATACCACGAAAACCAAGCATGCAGTCAGCCCGCTCGCCTGGGCTCGAATCCGAATTCAGAGGTCTTAACCATTTGGCGATTGGTGGCGATTGGTATAATCAGAGGGAGATGTGAAAAAAATTTTGCTTCCTTTCAGATGCGTAGTTGATATTACGAGCGCTTCACCGTAGTCAATTAATTCATCCAAATCCTATCTTCGGTAAAAATATTGAGAAGTATGCAATATTCTTCCCAAAATATGATTTACTCGCATTCTTAATTTACTTCTGTAGATATTTATCTTCCGTTTAACAACGAGAAATTTTTGATGCGATCGTTTAAAAATTACATAGCTGCAAAAGTAAAGATTACATAACATAACGGACACCATATCCGTTGTCTAATCAAAGAAAATTCTACTTAAAATGTAATTGTTTTTCTTTCCAGTATGAATGTGACAAAGATATAGAACTTTTATCATTCATTTTACTGTGCAACAAATAAATATTAATATTTTGGTAGTTTAAGAGTAAAGATTAAGAATATCGTTTTAATGCATATATAAATATTAACAACGTTGTAGATATTATCACATCAACAACCGTTTCTTTACTGATAACGCTTATCTGAAAGCTTAAAAAAGGCTGTCAATATTCGCGCTACAAAATACAGTGACAGTCATTTTGAAAAGGAAATTATCAAATATTTTCAGCACAGGTAATATATAATATTAACAGTCTTGCATTTGTGTGTGTCAGGCTGCTTCTGAATATTACTTTATGGACAGGGCCGTCTTAAGGAATTCGGCGCCCATGGGCTACTAAAAATAATGCGCCCTTCTTCCTAAGAAAATACACAGAATGGCAAATGGGAGTCGGAAAAGTTATACTAAGCAAAAATGTCAGAACTAAAAAAAAAAAATCTATTTATTACTTTTATAATAAACTGTTATCTTTATTGTAACTTTTCTTTAAAGTCACTTATTTAAAGGATGGGTATAAATGTTTACCCAGATTTGAGGGGATTATCTCAATAATGACAGTTCCGATCAGTTTTTAGTCTAATCCTTAGAACTTGATCGGAACTATTATATGATTCTCCATCAGTGCATAACATAAACAAAAATAAAATTTAATCAAATAAAAAACCATTTAAGAACAAAAACACACCTTAATCTAAACAAATGTAACTTATATATTTACTTTCCTAGCTTTTTCTTTGGCAAACTGATCAATAATATCAGTAGTACTTAAATTTTCAAATAAATCTCTTTCAATAGACAAAATACTATTGAGAATACTCATTGAGTTTACTCTGTCCCAAAGAAGATCGTAATTTTTTATTCTTTTGATTGCTGAAAATGATCTTTCGCCACTGCAGTTTGTTGTGGCGATACTTAAAAATATGCGCAGTGCTGTGATTACGTTTGGAAATGTAGATTCAATTCTTAACTCGATTATTGTCTTTAAACTTAGTTCTGCGATATATATATTTTCGGTATTTTCCAATAAATTCACATGTTTAAAATGTAGGCATTCTTCAATAAAGTTGTTTTCTAAATAATTCTGATATATTTCGCATAACTTTGCAGCATTATTTCTAATTATGTCTTCATTTATATTTTTTAAATTAACTAGAAACCCAAATGTTGAATAAATGTCAACATATGCACATTTTCTCTTTTGTACATCTGCTAAAATTTTATCAATAATAGCATAATATGTTTTTATGCGGAATTCGTCATTTGCATCAAGTTGCCCTTCTTCCGACGTATTTTCGTCGAACTGTCTTTTTCTTTTCCGTAACCGTTTGTATTCATAAAAGCCAGATAATTTTATACCTTCTGATTTGTAAAGGTTAAACGAATCTATATTTCGTTTCGATTGAACAAATTTTTCTAAAGAAGCATATAATGAAACAATGCATTCAATTGTAATATCAACTTTTTGAAGCGATATATTAGTTTTATCGATGGTTTCCAATATTTCACTCCAAAATGCTATCAGAAATTGTATAAGTTTTGTAGAAACAAACACAATTCAGTTGCTTGTATGCAGCATTCAGCTGCCGATTGTCCAATTAAATTTAAAGAATGTGCCGCACAGGGCACGTAAATGGCAAGATTATTTCTAGATTTAATGCGTGCTTGGAGGCCGTTATATATACCCGACATATTAGAGGCATTATCATAAGATTGTCCTCTACAATCTTCTAAACTAATATCTAAATCAGATAATAGCTTTAAAATACAGTCTTGCATTTCTGAGCTCTTATGGCCAGTATTCTCCAAAAATTTTAAAAACCTTTCAACGGGTGTTCCATTTTTATTGACATATCTTACGACAATGGTTAATTGATCCATATGGGAAATATCGGGGGCGTCGAATCTACTATAATAAGAGTAATATTTTGCCTCTTTTAGTTCCGTGATAATAAAACATCTAACATTTCTGCCCAATATTTTTAGAAATTCATCACAAATATTTGCAGATAAATAAGAAATATTCCCAGTACCTTTATTTGCAAAATTAAATATATGTTGTTGCAAAATAGGGTCAAATTTTGCTAAAAGTTCTAAGCACCCTAAATAATTCCCATTATGTTTATCACCAATAGTTTGATTTTCTCTCCTAAAAGCCAAACCCCTTGAACTTAAAAATTTTATGACTTCGATGATGCGTTCTAAAATATTTTTCCAGTAATTCGTATTTTTTTCCATTGATATAATAGAATAATTTTTGAAATATTCCCATTTTTCTGTAGATCTGTTCACAATTATACGGGTGTTTTCTTTATGAAGGGCTGAATTTTCATTTCGAAATTCGAAATTCGGTCCGAAATTTTTTCACTGTGTTTCCAATCGTTAAAACCTGCACTAAATGGATTATTGGCACTACCAAACAGTTTGCAAGGGATGCAATATACTTTTCCTGAAGTATTTGAGTATAAAAGCCAGTTTCTTTTTTGTTGTTTTCCGTTTTGTAAACGTCTATAAAATATCATTTTTGTAGCATATTTGCTCTGTGATTTGTAGACCACTTTAGATGCAGAAAAGTCTAATTCTTGAATATCTACCTCTACGTTAGATATGTTCTTCATTATATCTATAATTTTATCTTCGCTTAATCTTCCCCATAATGCTGGATCAGTGTAATTAACACTCAACATATTACTAAGTTCATCTTCACCTAAATATTCTCTTTCTTGATCTTCTGGCTGTGGCTGTTCCATGTTTGTTGTTTCTGGTCCTCTTCTTTTTCTTTCACATTTGATTGCTGGGCATTATTGTCATACTGTTGTTGATTTTTTTCTTTTCCCTCTTTGTGTTGCTCATCCTCTGTAATATCCATAGAAAGTGTTTTTTGCCTTTTTAAAGAAATTTGTTAATGTAGGCATTTTTTCCAAGAGAGCTTTTTTGCCTCGCCTCTTCTCTTCTTTTAATTTACGGTTGGCAGAACCAGATAATTTTTTTTCGTTTATGTTCCATGGTTAGTCTTTCTACATAATGGAATAAAAAACTGTTATAAAATTGTTAAATATGTATATATCATTATTAATTAATTTTTAGCTAACATATACACTAGTGGACAAAAAAAAAAACGCATAATCAAAAAAATGGCATCTAGCAAGATAATATTTATTAATTTTAAAATGTTAAAAAATAAATTGGTTTTTTTCTCATTTTATATTTAAAAATATATTTACTTTAAGATATAAAGAAATTAGGTAGTATATTGGACGGTTTATAAAAATCAAAGTGGACAAAAAAAATGCATATTGTTTAATTAATACCTTGTATGCCCACCCTTTGCTTTATAAAGTGCTTCAGCTCGATCTGGCATACTTTCGACCAACTTTTTGCAGAAATCCGGATCAATCCTGTCCCATTCTTCATGCGTTATCCTTTTTAACTCATCAATGTTTTTTGGCTGTCTTTCCCTTATTCTTGTTTTCAGGTGAGTCCAGAGATGTTCTATTGGATTCATATCTGGTGATTGGGATGGCCAGCTTAGCACAATAATCTTCTTATCTCTGAAATATTCTCTTGAATGCATTGAACGATGCTTTGGATCGTTATCTTGTTGGAATTCATATCCATTAAGACCCATTTTTGAAGCTGACAATGCAAGACAAGAGTCGATTATCCTAGTATATTTAAGGGAATCCATATTTCCCTCAATGATCGTTAACATTCCAGTGCCATTAGAGCTAAAACAACCCCAAACCATAATATGCCCTCCGCCATGTTTAACAGTAGGCTTTAAATTTTTCAAATTATATCTTTCCCCTTACCTTACGACGCACATATCTTCGTCCATCTGATCCAAACAAGTTTATCTTGGTCTCATCTGACCAGATTATGCTATTCCAATGCTCTTGAGTGTAATAAACCCATTTCTTAGCATGCTCATATCTGCTTAAAACATTTTCAGGACTTAAATATGGTTTAGAACAGGCAACTCTGCCAGGCAAACCTATAGAACACAATCCACGACGAATTGTTCTAGATGAAACACATTTTCTTTTTCTGTCATTTAATATATTTTTCAATTTATTTGATCCTAATTTAGGATCTTTTGAGATATTTTGCTTCAAAAAAGTTAAATCACCTGATGAGAGTGACAACTTTCGGCCAGATCCCGGTTTTCGAGATGAAGACCCTCTTATAATATATTTTTTTAACAATTCTGGAAATTGTTGATTGATTTACGGAGTATTTTTTTGCTAACTTCATTTGGCTCATTCCAGACTCGTGGAAAGCTTCAATTTGAGCCTTGTCTTCAATTGATAATTGCTTTGATATGGATGCACTGAATCATAGAATTTTTTTATGTTTTTTGGCGGGAAAAGGCAATTTTTTTCAATATGCATTTTTTTTGTCCACTTTGATTTTTATAAACCGTTCAATATACTACCTAATTTCTTTATACCTTAAAGTAAATATATTTTTAAATATAAAATGAAAAAAAAAAACCAATTTATTTTTTAACCTTTTAAAATTAATAAATATTATCTTGCTAAATGCCATTTTTTTTTATTATGCGTTTTTTTTTTTTTTTTTTTTTTTTTTTTTTTTGTCCACTAGTGTATGTAAAAGGAAAAGCACTTACCTTAGGAAGATAATAATATAATTTAATAATTTCCACTTAATTTTCAATTTTTAATTCACCTTATTCAGTCGACAAATACTAAAATTATATCAATTTTACTTTTGTCGTGCAATCTATATTAAGGTACGCATCAGTGACCCCTTTATGTTCCTATCTTTTATCAGGATTGTTAAAATAATACAATTTACGTTTAGATAAATGAATATGCCCTGGCGACGCGGTGAGTATACGTAGGTGGTCTTATATTAACTCCAGTACAGCTCCGACAGTTCAAATGCGCGACTGAAACAAAGTACGATCGGTAGGGTGTTACTCCTATTTCGCGTTGCCCTTCTCTATCTATCGTTTTTCAGCACATTTGGAAGAAATAAAAATCAGTTTAATATTTTAAGAAGTGTTTTAATTTAAAAATAAGTAAAAACTAATAAAATGAAAAATAAATTTTTACTATATCGCAAATAAAAAATTGCCGCCTCAAAAGCCTTGCGCCCTGGGGCTATAGCCCATTTAGCCCTGTGGTTAGGGCGGCACTGTGTATGGAATACTATTTAGATACAATAGCATATGCTATATTAGGGGTAATTATGAGTTCTGACATGGAAAGGATTTTATTCTTATCACACTTTTATTTTACATTCTTTAAAAGAAAGTAAACGTAGATAAGCTGAAGATCTAGTGCTATGTTTCCTTTATTAAATACAGTTGTTCATAATTTGGGTTTTTTTTTCTTGTTCATATTATTTTAATGCAAGATAAAAATTATAAATTTTGATTTTATCTTAAAATCCTGCATCCTATTTTGTACAGCATATTTGCCCCTAATGTGTTCGGTCTCATCTATCCTCGGTATGTTAAAAAGCTCGTAAGGCATCGGCAGCTCTGCTTCGCCTTACATTTTAGGCTGCAGAATACTAGAATGGATGTGCGTGAATGGTTTCGTGTTTTCCCCCATGAGTAGCTCAAATGCTAGTTAGTTTCTGTTAGAATAATTTTCAAAGCCAGAGAGACCTCGTGTATTTTGCTGTAAAGAATTACCTTCCTCACTACCGTTATTACGCTGCAAATTAGCATTTGGTGTATTAGGACCCAACGTTACTTCATTGTGCATTCTTGCTACATCAAGTTCAGGTACTGTGAATTTCTAATTTTTTTATGTGATGTACGGGGACTTATGTTAGTCAAACCAATTATTTTTAGTTTTCCTTTCCTTTCTTTTCAGTTTCCTGCCAGAATGTAAATTTTGTTATGACGTATTCAAATTTACACGTTTTTCAGAAGTAATATTTAAGCTGAATGTCGAGAGTTCAAAAGGAGTAGTAGCGGACTTAGGTATGAGTTTTATGCTGCGTGTTTGAATTTAGCTCTCTAGCCAGTGCTCGACACCTTTTAGTATATACTGATATTCATCGGCTATTTAGCGTTAGTTAAGCTAAGGAGCCAGTCATTAGATATTTTAATTTACTAGTAATTTTGTTACATTCTTATTTTCTGTTAATTTACGTAACCAAAAGTGATGCTGATTTATGAGCAGGAAGTGCGTGCATCTGTTTTAATTTAGTTTAAATAAAAAGGTTCTTTTAAACCTTCCTCTGCTGTAATCTTTCTTCAAGACTTAGCGAGAATTCGCTACTTCGTCTTCGGCGTAGAATTAACGTTGTATGCTCCCTAAAAGAACGCGTAGACTCTATATTGGTACATTAGTAGCCTAATTTTATTGAATACTTCCTCGTGGATTTTTCTTAAGCTGTAACTATGTGAGATCAAAACTAGTGATGAGTCGGTACTACCGAACCGGGTATTTTGTAACGGGTACTTAGTTGTAACGGGTACTGAAAATCGGTACATCCAAGTACCCGTTACTTCAGTACCGAAATCGGTACTTTTCGGTATTCGTTACTTCTGTACCGAAACGGGTACTTTTCGGTATTCGTTACTTCTGTACCGAAACGGATACTTTTCGGTATTCATTACTTCTGTACCGAAACGGGTGCTTTTCGGTATTCGTTACTTTGTAACGAAAATATGCGTCTCTTCTCGGTATTTCGGTATTCGTTACTGGAGGATCGATGAGGGTTCAGCTCACTTCGGTTTTGGTACGAGGACAGTAGTATCTGGTTGTATTTGTGAAATGGTGATATGCGCTCCTTGTGTCCATGAATGGTCTGCTCCTCAGACACTTCCGTAGTTTACATGTTTTCTGATATTCAAAATCTTACCCCGTACAGATAAAATCAAACACGTGATGACGTGGCAGAGTTCCTTCAGTGCGCAAAATCGTTAGCTGCGTATTTCGGTACTCCAAATCGTTACTAGGGCACTTCGGTACTCCAAATCGTTACTAGGGTATTTTGGTACTCCAAATCGTTACTAGGGTACTTCGGTACTCCAAATCGTTACTAGGGTACTCCGGTACAGCAAACCGTTACTAGGGTACTACGGTACAGCAAACCGTTACTCCGGTATTTCGTTACTTCGGTACTCCAAATCGTTACTTGGGTACTCAGTACTTGAAATCGGTTTTCGGTACTTTTCAAAGTAACGGTTACTTGAGTAACGGGTATTTTGTACCGGGTACTTGTATGTACCCGTTACTCTCTTACCGGGTACAAGAATGTACCGAAGTTGCCCATCACTAATCAAAACTAAATGCACTGTACAAATTTTGACTGCAACTTTCTGTAGGTTTTTTTCATTCTGTTAAGCGATAACTTTTCCTTCTGCATTCCTATTTTTACGTATCTCCGTCTATAATAAATGTAAAATACTTAGCGTAACCTGAAGTTAAATCTCTGAGCAGAATTATTAAACGCAGCCTCGAAATACCTAAACACCGAATTAGCATAAAAATTTAATATTCTGTATCAGATTAAGAAAGAATTTTAAATTACGCACGTGCTTCCAATATGTTTATTGTTCTAATAAGCTAAATATTATATATTCAGGAAGTATTTATTCATTGAATATTAAATCACATTTTTGGGCTCTTCATTTCTTTTTATTTCCGCAAGCTCACAGAAAGAAAATTTTGATAAATGTGCAGGTTCTACCAACTTTAAACTTTAAAAAAAAAAAAAAAAAAAAAAAAAAAAAAAAAAAAAAACGATAATGTAGAGAAAACTA